TTTTTTTTGTTGATAATTTTGATGAATTAAGTTTTGATGATGATGATGATGAGGATGAATCTAATGATAAATCATTTGTTTTTATTTGTGGATCAAAAATAATAAAATCTGGACAAATTTTCGATATACGTTTTGCTGTTAATAATGGTATAAGACCACCAAGATATTCTAAGTATAGAACATAAATAGCTCCTGATAAATTATTTGTTGTTCGTGTTGGTGAAACATTTTCCGTTTCATTATCAATACGTTTCATTGTACATTGCAAACGAAGATGAGATTTTAATGGATTACATACAAATGAACGTACATTTTTTGGATCAGGTAAAAAACCTTTTATTGTTGAGCGAAATAAATTTAAAAGAGTTTGTTTTAAATTATTTGGTAAATAAAGTTTGTCAAGATTTTGTAAAGAATTATTTAATAAATTTTGTTTTATTTTCATCTGACATAATGTTAACATGGACGGTAAAGATTTATGAATTATCCAAATTGTATAAACATATGAACCACATGCAGCAAAAACAATATCTACATAAGAAAAGAAAAAATAAATTGAAATTTTTAGTTTTATACTTACCATTTCCATGTGCCCAACACAAAGCAGATAATGGTTGAGTCTAGAAAAGAAAAACCTCTTGATTTATTATCAATAGAATTATAATAAGAAAGTTTTAGAAAATATTTTCTTTCAACTTGAGAATTCTATATCATATTGAATAAAGAATCAGAAGAAGGAAGACAACTATAACTAGTTGTAGCTTTGGATAGAAGACCAGTATGACGTAAAATTTTCAATCTCTCTATGCACACTAACTAGCTACAAAAGCAGACGTATACCATGACGTAGTCATCATACTATCGAATAGATGATTCAAGACAAATAGCCGTTAGTGACTTGTCCAAGGTCATTCCATGACTGGAGATAGTGAGTTTGGCATACAGTATCTTATAGACACGTATTGAACAATGTAGCAACTCAGCCATACCATCCAGATAAAGAATAGAAGATAGTTTAGACGACACACTAATCGAAATATTTGCCACAGTCATCAAATCTGCTTGCTGTCGAAGTCGATACTCATTAACTCTGACACGACTACGTTTAGAACTATTCTTTGTTATTCACCTGGGATTCCTACACACCTCAATTGATCAAATGACTATAATACACAGAGTTGTTACTAATTTATAATGAACATGTGAACACTTGATTACAAAAACAGACAAGCAGTTAGTTGGTTTGAAGGTGAATTTTGAATTCGCTTAATATTCTGCATCTCTGAATGTATGTTTCAGAATTTTAGAAAAAATATTTGGGAGAATTAGTTTTGAAGTAACAAGAAGCAAAAGCATAAGAAAAGGTTATTTTTCTGGTAGGTCTATGTCATCATTATTTTCTATTAATTCAGAACAACCTAAATACTCTCACGATTCAATTTAATTTTTATACACTTTTGTTTGAAATTAAGTTTCATATTCGATAACTGTTTCATAGAGCAAATCTGTCTTTTGAATAAACGTAACTCTCAAGAGCGTTGAAAAGGTCGCAGAGGCATCGAGTACACAACTCTCTATCTATTGATATAAAGTGATGTACTTTTCACATCCTCTTCGACAAGCAAAGGATTTTGTAACAATCAATAAGCATCAACAGAGAATAGGAAATCGTCGACAATGTTGAAAAACAAAATCAACAGTTTTATAGAGTTTGAAAATCTCTATGTTTATATATATAAGAAAAACTTTTTATGCTTAGAAAATACGAGAAAAAAGCACAACGATTTACTGAAATTTATCCTTGGGCATGTATTACTTATCTATCTTGTTTTTATGGTCTTATCATTCTCTGTTTTCACGTCATTTGAAATCATGAATCACTGTTAAAGGTTATAGAGTTCAAAAAGTTTTGGACCTAGGCTCAGGACCAACTCAGCAAATTCTAATTATTATTCAATATTTGTATATACTTTGAGCGATTCTATCAGAAGAAGAACAGCTGCATATGATTGACGGATGTTAATTATGTACTGTACTAATTATTCCCAACGTATACTGACAAGGACGTGACTTGATTAAATGTTATGAATCTCATTGAGATCCAAACGAACACCAGGTAGTCAACAAGAATTCATTTCCATATACTTCGGAATGATCTAGTTACATAAATAATAGTTAGACGTAACTAGTAGATATTATTAACATACTTTATTCTATTTTATTTATAATAAAACTTAAGAATATATTGAACAATAATTGAAATATACAGCTCTCTATTGTATGAAAACTGCTGACGATTTTATTAGTTATTATTAAAATTTTTGTAGATTTACATGAGAACGAAATACAAAAGTAATTTCTAATAAATTTTTATTCTTATTAATTTTGATATGACATTGTATCTACTGACCTACTACGTCTTAAGTTATTCTGATCTTTCTACGTAATTAGATTTTTGTTCATATAATTTATTCACTATCAGAAACTAAAAGAAACATTTGTAGTCAATCCTAGTATATATTAAATCAATTGCAAGTTAACAAAATTTTTCGTCTATCTACAGAGATAATGTCTAGTATGAAATTGTCATATTTTTTTTTTGTTGTACAAACCGTTGGTGGGAGATGAGTACGATGTAAAAATTCTCCTCGACGAGTATAAAATATAATTTGATTTAAATAATTTATATCGTTTACACGTTTATGTCCACCAACAGCAAGTATTTCACTTGATGATGACCAATCCATTTTAATGTCTATTTAAATTATTCAAATAATAAAAAGACAACAATTATTTCGTTCTTTTTGTTTGTTGTATATGATCTTACTTTGAAGATCTGTATCAACACTAATCGGTGATTGATCTTGATAATTATTAAGAAAAAGTACTTGTCCATTTTCAAGACTACATGCAAGAATGTAATCATCATTAATGAATTTTGTTGCATCTAAAATCAAATTATATATAAAATAATTGAAAACTATAAAAAGAAAAACATTATCAATTATTTACTATTATCTGGTGCTTCTGGATAAAATTTATTGCATGAATAAATTAATTGTCGAATCGATTGTGTTGATAAGGAAAGAACTTCTGTTGTATTCCCATGATGATCCATTACAATTAATTGTCCTGATGTTGTACCAAGAATCACACTAAAAATAAAACATAATTTAAAATGTATTGTTTTTTTTTGTGTTGTCTCGCTTTACTGTGAAACATCAGGCATCCATGTAACAGCAGAAACTTTTGCTTGAGAAATATTCAAAACTGTTGACCAATAACGTTGTCCCGTAACAGAACCGGCAAGTATAAAACCATCTTCATAACAAATAATAGTCATACGTCCATCATGTGACCATGACATATCAGTTACGGGATGACTTCGATCATTAATTAATTCTAATGACCAACGATTATCATGTTTAACCCAAACAAAGATAACACCTTTTTCATCAATAGTTGCTAATTTTTGATATGGAATATTCCATGAAACAAGACGAATATCTGTACGATGTGCACGTAAATTAAAATTTGTACGATCAGGTATAAGAGAATTTTCATCCGATTTTATTGATGTATATGTTACACTAACAATATGATTTGTATTACCTGTTGCTAACCATCCTTCATAAAAATTCGTTAATGATGATAATGATATTGGTCGATCATTATTATTATCACCACTATTATTTAATGATGAAGACGAATTCGGAATATAACTCATCCATGATAGTGATCGAATTATTGCATCAGTTCGAGCTATATTCGATAATTCGATATAAGCGTACATATTTATTGTTCTACGACATGTTTTGTTCCTTATAAAATAAAAAAAAAAAGAATCTAAAAAAAAAGAAACGAAATGATTATCGACTTTATTATTTTTTTTTTCTTGTATGCTTATTATTATGTAGTATAACATTACTTTGATTCAATTGACTGCCGAGGATATATAAGTTTGCCTAGAGGAAAGTAAAAGATAAGGAAAAAAAATGAAGACAAAAGAGAAAAACCTAGTATTTCATTGATTCTATTTCTATAAAAAGTTTAACTGACAGCTGCCATTGACGATTCATTTCAAATTGAAAGAGTTTCTTATCATGATATACTTGAATTATAGATAGAAGAGTAGAATGTATCAACTACAAACAACAACAACAAAAACAACATCAGCAATAATAAAAGCATAAAGATGATGCTGTCGGCAGCATTGGGTCGTTTTCTTATCTAACGGATTTTGATGCATGCCTGTAGCCTTGTTCTATTCTGTCTATCCTTCTCGTTTACAGCCTTCGGAAACTATTACCAAGGAAAAAGAAAAGGAAAGCAGATATGAAGAGAACGAGTAATCTACTTGGTAATAGAAATAGCAAAAAAAAAAAAAAAGGAAGAAAGACTTTCATACGCTCTTGAATACAAATTTACAGTTGATTCTATTCGACGTTAGTAGCAGTCAAATATGCAAGAATATTAAATTAAAAGTTAATCGAGTAAACTTATCTATTCGGCGAAACTGTCATATATTACTTTGATTTTATTTTAATATAGAAACTGATATGTTATGTTGACCGCAAACCGACATATGAATTTCTGAGAGTATAAAAAATAATCAAGTTTTTGCATAATCAACTAGAAAAATAAACATCATTATGCTTAAAACAAAAAACAAGAAAGAAAAAAAAGGCACACACACACACCGAGGTTTTGCTAACATACATTGGTTTTTAAACAACGAATCGCTCAAAAACGGAGATAAAAAACTGACGCCATCTGTTGAGTACAGGTAACATGTATATTAATCATTCTATTAAATTCATATCATCAATTGCAATACAAATATTCCTTAGATCAACGAAAATATTTAAAAAATACATTTATCTTTATCATTTATTTAAATATCTATAGAATATATTTTAGAATAATTACTAAAGTTAGAATAGATTTATTTTTTCAACAAAACAAAACAAATAAATATTATGTTCATTATTTTATTTTCTCTATGTAACAACAACAAAACCATTATAGTTTGATGATGGAATATGTTTACTGGTTTGAGATTGCATAAATGTATGCGTTTGATGACGAAGCCAATCATCTTTGAATATATGAATTGTTAAAATTTGAACAACATTCGCTAATCTATTCCATACATGTGCTAAAACTAATTGTTCATCAGCATCTCGCCTAAACAAGAAAAAAAAACAAAGTTTGCTTTTGTTTTCAAATTTTTTTTTACTATTCACTATAAATTAGAACGATTAATATCTGAGAACAATTGATTTTTATTTAGTTAGAATCATAATTTTTTTTGTTTTTTTTCTTTTTGAATGTGTTCGGAATTTCCTTTTCGGGTCACAGTGGACATTTAGTGAAAAAAAATTAAAGTGATATTTTTTACAATTTGAATAATATCCAATATACTTTGGTTAATGACCGATTAAAAGTTTTTCCAATAAAAGTTTAAGATAAAGGTCCTCTCATGCATTTTTTATCGAGATTTTTCTTTGATGAATTTTACTTTTTTCAATCAATTATTTTTGTTGAGTACTGGAAATGAATATCTTTATGAAAAAAAAAATGCGTTTTTGATCGACGATAAGCTATATTCACGTGCTCTATAGAAAATGTCCGCTGTATGAGTAAGGTTGAATAAATATCATTTCAAAGAATCTAAAGAATAGCTGTACAGGATACCATTTTAGTCAAATTTTTGTATTTTGATTGAAACCAATCAATCTGAAAATGCGAAAGATTTTTTAATGTTTAAAACTTTTGTTTTTTTTTAAAAGTAGTTTTCCAAAAAACGATTTTTAGATCAATGCTGATATTTAAGAAAACTAGTTTTCTAAGTAGACACACATAGATAAGAATTCGCTTATTGTAATTTTTGTACAGAATTGAGTGGTCTACAATAATGTTGAGTTGACGAAGCTACGTAAACTAAAGACTACGCAGATGGAAAATCTAAACATATGTTCGAAAATAGCGAAAAAAAATTGTAATTCTATCTATCTATTGGTATGTTTAATAAGTTGTCTTTTAGTAATCAAAAAATGAGCAAATATTTTGTGCCAAAACTGTCGCGCTATAGAACAAAAGTTTTACTTTGTTAAAGAACATCTTGAAAGTTTTATTTAATTTGTTTTTTAAATTATGTACTTAATTCCTCCGGATTATTATTTTTATATGAATTATCTAAGAAATACACTAGTTCGATGTGATTACAAGGCTAAATATTTGACAGCTATTCTCGATAATGAAATTCAAAAAAATGTGGGTAACCAAAGACAACATAAAAGCGAGTGGGAGACACAAGTATCATATTCTTAATCGTTATTAAAGAAATGTCAAATATTCATAAAATATTCGGAACATAATTTATTTCTTAAACGATATGTAAAGATTACTATTTCCAATTATATTAGAATTAACAAGTATATTTATAATAATTATATATATTTTTCTCAAATAGAATGTTTTTGATTGGTTCTAGTCGTTTTCGAGATAGTTTAAAGAAAATATGTACGAGAATGATACGAGTTTTTGCTCACATGAATTGAATTCTTTTTAATATGTAAATGACAATGTCTTCTATCAGTTCATTGTGACATGAAAAGAACCATTTCGACAGCATCATCGTAATCAATAATCAGTAATGCGTTTTTTATCCGACAAACTTGATTTCAATAATGACTGTTATGATATAAAATTACATTATCTTGTATATATATATCTATCTTCACTCCTCTCAAAACAAATTAGAATAAATAAAAACAAAATAAGAATTTCACGTTAGTTATTGTGAAGAATTTAATAGTATAGCTTTTAAAATAATTCAAATTTTTATCGTTTATCTGTGCAAACATAAATAAAAACTGCATATTCATGTCAAATTACAAAAATATTAAGTCATTTCTCTTACCGACAACGAACATGCAACGATCCAACAAGTGTTCCAAATGAAAGAGCCCAAAAATGTTCATTCCGAAGCTCTAAAACTCCATCAAGTCTCGATGCTTCATGTAGACATTTATCTAATTGTCCAATCATATGTGATGGTGTTGTTTGTAATAATATTTTTCCACTATATATTGCCATTGGTACCATTGTTCCAAATGTCATAAAAGCTATTAGTAATGATGATAATGTATCAACAAAATTGCCATAACCCATTTTTAAAAGAAATGAATCCGATAAAACAATAGCTAAATCACACCAACAAAGTAATGCTAATGGATTAATACGTGGTAAAAGAATACGACTTAAACCAGGTATATAATGACATAGACTTTGAAATATATCACTAACATGTTCTTGTAACCAACTTGATGAACTAGCTGATATAACATGATCAAAAGATTGATTTCGTACAAAATAAATAACAATAAGATGCATAATACATGTTATAATTGATGCTGGCATAAAATATTCAGTATGTATTGGTTCTTGTTCAAAAAACTTTTCAATAGATTCTTTAAGAATAAAAAATGCTCCAAGTATCGAAAGCATTGTTGATGTAAATACAGCTAACACTTCAAAACGTGATGTACCATATGAAAATGTTGCAATTGTTTGTGTTGGAATAAAAAGCGATGTCGAACTATCACTAGTTGGTAATTGAGTTTTATGATGAACTTTTTTTGTACGATTTTCATTATTCCATGCTGAAAGAAGAGCAGTTCCAATAAAAAGTAAATCAAATACACATAAAGAACAATATGCTTGTAAAGCCATAGAATTTGTTTGACCAGCCATTGTAAATACGGTAATACATGATATTAATGTCGCCAATGTTATAAACACTGTAACACGTGAATGTGAAGATTTAAGAAGATAATAAAGTGATTTTAGAATTGATACTGATGTACTCATGATTAAAGAAGTAATCTAGAAAATTCTTTTAATAATAACAAGAAAATGTGCAAGAAATCAAAAGAGAAAAAGAACTTCATTCGTTCTCTTTCATCATAATCTTCTCTAAAATGAGATGAGAAAGTTAAAAATAATTTTCTTGCCTTAAAGATTTGTACTAGCAATGGCGCCAGGGATGGACTGATCTCACCGTGGAAATGTGCTACCCTAAACATTCATAAGACAGTTTTCTGATCAGTTACACAGACTTATAAACACAATGAAAGCTAAAACCAATGAATGACAGACATGTTGCTAATTTAGCATTCTTATCACAGTAACGTATGCTTGAAATAAAAATTGAGCTAAAGGTATGTTGAAGACTCTTCGTAGTAATCATATTCTTACGGTTTATTTTATCTTATTACAAAAGCAGAGCAAACTCAGATCAAGTGAATAAATTAGATATTTTTCTTAATGTTCCAAAGTAGACAAGATTAGTGTGAAAAATCGCCATTTTCTTTCACTGAAGCTAAACTTTGATTATTTTCACGTGATTCTACATTTGAAAACTCTGGAGTTTTCTCGAATTAATTTCGTATGTAGCCGTCTAACTTTCAACCACTTCATAAATTAAAATAAAATTTTGACAAAATGTAAGAAGATTCCTTATTTCAATAATATATTTAACTGGCCATGCTGCTGGCAATTATCTTTCAATAATATTTTACAGAAAATAAGCAAAAATAAGGATCAATGGAGCCTAGAAATGGAAATTATTTAGTCTATATGGCTCTTGTAGCTGTTATTTTTGATGAAAAATAATTCAGAGTCCTGTACATTTCTATTATAAAAAATCTTTTCGATTGCAGTCTTGACACAAAAATAATAAGCCACTTAAAATCATCACAGCATTTCATATTTCTGTCGAAGTACAATAGTAATATTCGCTTACTTAGGAGCAAAACAAAAAAATGCTTTTTCATCTTCTTTCATTCAATCATCGAAACCTTGAATGGACTGATCCTATCCTACAAGAAAACCCTAGCGCCGTCTCTAGTATTAGCATACATACACGTACGTACGTAGAATACTAATTATCTTATTGGTACTTTCATTACCAATCTATCTTATATCTCTAGATGGCACTTCCTACAATTAAAAATAAAGAATTTTCTTTTTAATTTCATTATATTAAATAAAGTAAAATTTTCAATTATATAATCAAAATGAAAAAAAATTGCATAAAAATCCTTCAAAGAAAAACGAAATAACATTCTTCTTATCTAAATGTTATTTTATCCAATAGTTGATTACCAACACTCATAGCCATTTAAAAAGAACGATCAATCAATTGGCTCCATAAACAAAAGGTGCAGTGCTTGCTTTTGACCTTCATTATTTAACATCAATGGCGCCTAGTCGGTTTTTTTGTTTCTCATTAACTAAAATTTTTTTTTTAGATTATCATGCGTTATACAATATTAATATTATTAATTTGTCTATTAAATATTTCAATATTAAAAGCTGAGGATGATGATATTGATGAAGATGTAACTATTGAAGATAATCCAACAACAACATCATCAGCAACTATTGAAAAAACAAATGTACCAATAATGAGATCTTCATCATCAAATATTTATTTTGAAGAACAATTTCAAGATAAATCAAAATGGTCACGATGGGTTAAATCACAAGCAAAAAAAGATGGTGTTGATGAAGTTTTAGCAAAATATGATGGTGAATGGGGTTTTGAAATTCCACAATCATCAATTTATAGTGATGATTATGCATTAATTTTAAAAGTAAATAAAAATTATTATTATTATTAATAATAAACAAACAATAAAAATGAATAAATAAATAAATATTTTTTCTTTACATTTTAGTCTAAAGCAAGACATCATGCAATAAGTTCGAGTTTATTTAAACCATTTGATTTTTCAACGAGTCCACTTGTTGTTCAATATGAAGTTAAATATCAAACAAATCAAGAATGTGGTGGTGCTTATGTTAAATTACTGTCTGCAGATGGACAACATCTTGATTTGGTAAATAGTTAATAATAGTTTAATAGCAAAAATTTAAAGTAGAAAAAGAAAATTAGAAAGCATAGTTTGCATTGAATATCATTCGAAAAATATATCATTTTTTCACGAAATAAACAAAGAGATTGAACATGTTCTACACGTCAATCAACAGGTTTTATTGTAATTAATAATTTTTGTTCCTACTCCTAACGATGATTTATTATGTAAAAAAGAATCAGTTTGAAGAGCTAATCATAAATGGAATATTTATTGATTAGAACCTTTTCAACGATTAATAGCTGATGAAATTTCCGATGTTATTCAAGATGTTAGCATGTCAAATGCTTATTGGGCTATTATAATTTTATTTTATTAAATGCATTTTTCTTTTCAGAAACAAGTGACGGATAAAACACCATATACAATTATGTTTGGTCCAGATATGTGCGGTGCCGAACATAAATATCATTTTATAGTTCGCTATCGAAACCCTAGAACTGGAGTATATAGTGAACATCAAGCAAAAAAACCAACAGAACCATTAGATAGTTATTTTACAGATAAAAAATCGCATTTATATACACTTGGTAAAAGGCTATGAAAAAAAATGTAAATTGATTATTATTTTCTGTATTTGTTTAGTTTTATCGGCTGACAATAGTTTTAAAATATATATTGATAATAAATTAATTAATTCGGGCAGTTTATTAACAGATATGGAACCATCAATAATTCCACCAAAAGAAATTATTGATGAAACTGATCGAAAACCAGATGATTGGGATGATCGAGAAAAGTAAGACAAAAAAAAATAATTTGTTCTTTTTTTAAATAATATTTTTTTTGTTTTAGAATTCCTGATACAAACGCAAAGAAACCTGATGGTAAGAAAAATCATCGAAAATTTATTATTATACAAAATTTTTATTTTTAGATTGGGATGAAACAGAACCAAAAGAAATTCCTAATGAATCAGCAACTATTCCAGATGGTTGGCTTGAAAACGAATCTCCAATGGTTTCAGATCCAGATGCTGTTAAACCAGGAGATTGGTAAGATTAATCTATAAAAAGAACAGTTATATATGGAACTTTTTTTTCCATTCTAGGGATGATGAAATCGATGGTATATGGGAAGCACCAAGCATTGATAACCCTGTGTGTAAAGATTCTCCAGGTTGTGGTGAATGGACAGCACCAATGGTTCCTAATCCAGCTTATAGAGGTCATTGGAGAGCACCATTAGTTGATAATCCAAATTATCGTGTATGTTAATTGTTTGTTTTCAAATGAGTTGTCGAAAGCTTTTTATTCTTTTATTTCAGGGTAAATGGGAACCACGTAAAATTCCAAATCCTGATTATTTTGAAGAAACTCATCCATATAAATTAACTCCAATTGGTGGTCTTGCACTTGAACTTTGGTCAATGGTTGATGGTGTTGTATTTGATAATTTTCTTATAACATCTGATCAATCAATAGCTAAACAATATGGTGATCAAATTTGGTATTCTAAATCAGTTCTTGAAGGAAAAGCAATATCAGCTGCATCGGAAAGTGTTATTGATGCTATTGTCAAAGCAACTAAAGATCGTCCGTGGTTATGGGCTGTTTATTTAGTAGCTATATTATTACCATTAATTATTCTTGTTGTTTTTTGTTGGTCCAGAAAACCAACATCAAAAGCAAAAGATGGATTAAAAAAGAAAACTGATGAAGTTGAACCAGATTCAAATGAACAACAATTATTAACATCAGCTGATAATGATGAAGAAACTGAAGAAATTGAAATTGATGAACAACAAGTTAAATCTAATGTTACAAATGTATCTGGTAAAGATGCACTCGAAAACGAAGATGAAGGACAAGAAGAAGAAGTTAATGTAAGAAATCTTTCTTTATTTTTTTATATCTTTATATGACTTTCTTTTCTGTTTTATTATTTTTCAAGGTAATCGAAACCAATGAAGATGAAAGTAATAAAAGTTCATCACCATCAACTAGCAATAGTGCTCGTCGCCGTGTACGAAAAGAATAAATTCAAAATTTCATTTTCTTTTTTTTTAAATCAGTTTGTGTCTATATTTCTCTTTCTATTTCTCAACGACACTAAACAAAAAAAAAAGTCCATTTTTTTCTATCAGCTATTCCATTCTTCTCTATTTCTTGTTTGTTTTTTTCGTTGTTTCAGTCGGTGGATGTGTTTACTTCATTTGTTTGTTTGTTTTTTTTTGTACTTTATCATATTACTCTTTCCCTTCATATCTACGTAACAAATGTCTTCTCCTGTTAGGAATTTTATCACTTCATTCTTATGTCTCTTGCATATAAAATCAAGATTAAAAGAAATAAAATAAAACTAAAAAACACGAGATTTTTGTATTTATCTAAAGAATCAAATAGAAAAATACAACTGAATAAAATATTTGAAATCAATGATAGAATGAATTCATGAATATGATTATTTGATTTTTTTTCTCATGTATAAGGTATAAATAGGGATGTGCAGTATTGGTGTAGATACTGAGCTACTAACAATGAGTCCCATATACAAGATCCACTGGAGCGCCGTTTACATTGGCATTCATTCTCACTCAAGCAATGACTACGCTAGCATCCATGTTCTCTACAACATAGAAACATCAACTCAATCAAAATATGCTCCGTATGTTGAGTGCATTGGACTCAAAGCTTTCGAATTCAACCCGATCTGGGTCCGGGGCTAATCCAATCGGCTCTACTTCTTTGTAGCAACGTATTCCAATGCTTCAGCGAACAATGATGACAATGTCTCAATGTGCACTAACTATACTGATTCACAGTGGTCAGTAAACTGAAACTGCATAGCTCTAGATACAGCATCTTTGACTTATTATATGATGTATTTGGGAAGCGATCCTCGGCAATCATTAGATTAATGTCATGATATTCTTACTAAAATCATACAACAATCGGACTCGAAATGTACCATTAGCAAACTTCCTGGCAG